CGAAGCGGAACTGTTGAGGCACCCGGAACGTGTGACGTCGTTCTCTGTTCACCGAGACGGCGGTCCGCAACAGTCCAAGTATACTCACCAGAGCTTGCTCAAATGCTGCTCGGATACCAGTCGAGCAGGTGCGCGTGGGTGAAATAATCTCAAAGTCCTGAGGAAACTCACCCAGGTTTGCGAGATCCGCAGCCTTCGACATGGTCTATAGAACAAGCATGAACCAGCAAACCAAATTTAAGACCCATTGAAGGGCCAAGGGTGTCAGCCAGGCTGGGCAACAGTTCCTGACTTGTGACATGTTCCGTCTCGAGCCATTGGTTGGGCGGCTGCCACGTCAGACGCGTTGGGAAACGCGTTGGGAATGTCAAGGCGCCATGCATATCCATGCTTTATAATCCTCATTGCTTCCTCTTGCTACTAGTAACAAGTGCATCGCTTCTAGTAACAAGTGCCTTACTAGTAGTAACAATGTCCGCTACTAGGAACAATGCCTTCTTACTTCCCCTAGACTTGTTACTAGTAGCGATAGCCGACAGCAAGTCCCTTCACTGATCGGTCCTTGGGTGTCACAGGCGTGAGCTGCTGCTCAAAAGAAGCCAGCAGCTTCCGTGGGCTTCGGTCACGCCTCGAAGAACTTAGACCCATTAAGAGCCAAGGGTCAACTTGGATCGGTTGTCAATTAACTATAACTACAACTTACAACACTATAATCATAATATATAACTCAATCAAAACCATCGGAAGCAGCAACATGTGAGGTGAAAAATGTGATGGGATAATGCATATAGCTACAAAAACCGTCAAAACATGTCAAAACATATCAGAGCTAGTTGCATGTTAGAAAGTCAAAAGGATTGAATAGGATTGACCCATGATCTCACCAACTGTAATCCATGCATATGTCCTTTCTCCAAAAGTCCTATGAACGTGCAGTTTCCCAAAATCAAAATGTACAGGGTAATCCAAACACAAACAAATCATTGAGGCATGTATCCTTGGAGGTGTGTCACAAATCACAAATGTTGTTGCTTCAATGTTGATCTTTTCCATCCGTTTTTCCCTGGATCTTCATGCTTTAATGAAAACAAGTTTCTTGACCGTTCTTGACCATGCGAACTGGGATGATAAAGCCACGGCCGAAACCGTGGCTTAAGGATATGGATGAACCCAGGTTCAACAACTCACAACATCGAGAAAATGCAAATAAGGTTGACCCTGACGATGCAAATGGGTACCCAGGTGCCAGTGTGGCAAAACACTATGAATTTATGAATGTTCTTTTTTAAATAACTGTCAATTAAAACTCACGCCTTTAGTTCCATACATTCTGAATTTAACTCCAGTATGGCCTCACTTTGATCAATGCCTTTCAGGAGGCTAAAGGAGCGCCAAGGAACGTGAATGTCTCATCAGCCAAGCGTTTCTCCAAGCGCCGCCGCCGTTCCTCCAAAAGCTGTTGAAGGAGGCGGCTCGATTCATTTGATTCACCATGAGTCACTTCTCGTTCCATAGTGGCTTGAGCAAGAGTTGGCGTTCGCACGGTAAATGGCAAAGTGTACCAAGTAGTTTCCGTGGGAATATCAGTGGTTGCAGTGGTCATCTAACACTGAATAGCAAGATTAAGATACGCGAGTAATACCCACGCAAACAAGCCGGAGGTGGAAGTTTCAACAGAGTCTGATCATGGAAGCACCACACGGTTCATCCAAATCTTCAGAAAGTTTCAAGGTGGCATTGCGGCTCGAACAATGAGCGCAAATCTCCAAATTGCCAATATGCGCTGACCTACTGCTAACTAAACAGCGTGAGACCTAGAAATGGGGCACAAAATCGAACGTTCCTGCAGCTTTCATAATTTTCATACAAAGTCCGAGAAACGGAAGAATACGCAAGCCGTACAAGGAACGTATGTTATGAGTAGACGGAAAAAAAGGAAAGGCTGAGGGCCGAAGAATGCCGGAGACCAAGGTAAAAGGGAAAGCACGCAGCCCAAGAGACCGGGCAAACTACCACCTGAAAAGTTACAAACCTAGAGACCCAGAGACGGAGAAAACATGACAAGAGCTCAAAGCCGGAAACCGGCCAACCTATTAGTAACAAGAAGATCAAGAAGCTACTAGGGGCTCCTGGCATCGCTATTAGGAGCAAGGACGCTACTAGGGGGTCCTGGCCTTTATACTAGGAGCAAGGACGCTATCCAGGCCCGACCCAAGTCACACCTGCGGCATCGACGCCTCAGAAGAACAGGAAGTCCGGAAGAAGAGGACGAAGAAGACGGCAGGCAGGAAGACTTCAGCAAGGAAGCCCGGGAAGAAAAAGCAGGAAACAAGGGAGGGAAGAAAAGGCACAAGAAGCAAGGGAAGACAAGCGCAGCACAAACAAACCTGGGAGCAAAGGGCACAGAAAGAAGATGAAAGAAGACAACACTCCCTGCCTGGGGACCCCACCTGGACCAAGAGAGCAAAGACTCAGCGCCGGGCAGGGATCACTACGACCGCATCGGTCTGTTGGGCCGACGCTGAGCAATTGGGCAGCTAATGTGTAGTTTGCGCCGGCGCCGAACCCTGGATCCAAGAGGCCTAAACAGACAGAGTCAAGTAGATAGGCGAATGCAACGGAGTCCGTCATGTAACCACCGACGTTTCAAAAGCTCCAAACTTCCAAGGCAACATCACGGCTCGGACGACGATCGCCAAATTTATTAATATCCAACGCGTGCCTGCCGCTACAGTAACTCAAATAGCCCGAGATCTAGAAAGGGGCGTAGCTATCAACGTCCACAAAATCCGAGCAACGTCACGGTGATCAGCCACGATGTCCCGCGTGTAGCCGCTTCGTTGGACCATCGCTGCAGTTCATGGTTAGAAAGAAGTTTGACAAGCCGCCGTTTGTGACTCCAAAGCTCACATATACATTGATACATACGCACGCACTTTCCCAAAGGCTTCGCCAAGCTCATGGAATTTACACGACACCAATAGATCAACACATATCATACATCATGAATAGTGTTTACAGTAAGTTTCCCCCAAAATCTAGGAACCAAATCATTAGCGTGAGCTATCCTGTGCCCTGTTATTAGAAGCTTACTCAAGCTACTAGCTACCTCTTCCCTATCCGCGGCCTACCCTCCCCAGGCTTTAAACAAATCTTCACAGCTTCACCTTTTGTCGCTTCTTGTTACTACTAGTATGGCACCTGTTACTACTAGTAAGGCACTTGTTTCTAATAGCTTCTTGTTACTACTAGTAAGGCACTTGTTACTACTAGCGATGCACCTGTTACCATAGTGTCCATCGCTGCAGCGTAATTCACCCATGCCCCTTTTTCTCTGCGATTGCAAAACGATTAGCACCATCACGCGCGAACGGAGGGAGTCTGACGCTGCCGATGCCGCGATGCCGATTGGTCTGGACCCCCATCGCTATTCAGGCTGTCAGGCTTTCAAGATCTTTTCTGCAATATCACGCATCTCCTGATGCACTTGTCAGATTTGGATGTGGAAACGCCAAATCTCATCAAGCAGTTTCGATGCTCCTGGCGCGTAGTCAACATTAAGCGGTCAAATAGGGATGTGGAGCATCGCACTGTCACATTTACACATGTTAACCAAGCCCGTTGCCTAAACATCGTGAGGAGGGAACCGGACATCGGCTCTAGAACTTGTCCAGGGTTCAGCAGCTCTCAGGTCAGTTGTCCAAGATGTTAGTCCAAGTGTTGATGGCTGACAGCAGCTTGAGAATGGTAAGTCTGACAAGTAGCAAAAATTCTGTCCGATCCCTTGACCAGACTGGGCGCGCTTGCAATTGCTCAGGCCAACTGGTCTGTCGTGAAAACAGTGTACTGTAAGCAATTTGCCCTTCCGATTGCAGAACTTTGGACTGATAGGATCAGCAACGGCAAGCACGTGTAATCCAAATCCCGACCGCCGCAATCATGTGTCACTAGCTTCGCAAAACGAATGATTTCACACGAGCATGCCTTTGGCACGTGAAGGAGCAAGCCAAAAGCGCTTGGACTCCAGGTGCTTCTTGCTGAACAAACGCATGGACAAAACGTTACTGTTTTAGTCTCAAGCAGCAACATTGCCCAAATTGACATCTCTTTGCACAGAATTACATTCTCCATACACTTGAACTGGTGAAGCAAGGAGTGCAGGCTGGCTAAAGAAAGATAACCAACAATTTCCACCTCATCTGTAGGTTGCACCTGGCACAGTGTCTTTTAATTTAAGCACGCGACAAAAACAGTGAAGAAACCAACATGAGATGGTGTTCCAGAGGGCACAGTTATACTGGACAAGATGGGCATTTAACCCGGAGGGAACCGTCGTGCTGCGATTTTCCGCGGGCCCACATGGGAGACTATGAGCAGCTTTGCAGTGACAAAGGCAACAGCCTGAGCTGAACAATCACTGGAGGTTTTGAAGAGGCGAAGCCAATAGAGTCAGCAACAAAGAGCAACAATGATTCTTACCTTGGTAAAGTGGTAGGGAGGCCGTCAGTATTAGAATGGAGGCCATCGCTTCTAGGTTGGAGGCCATCGCTAGTATAGTGACCCGGTAGTGCTGTGCCAGGTTCTCACCGTAGGTAAGGTAGCTCTTACGGCACGCGTTCACCGCGAAGGGGGCATCGAACCTGACACCACTTAGAGGACTTCTAGTGGTCAATGCTAATGGAGGGCCTCGAATGATCGATCCACACGCAAGGGCCACTACACTACTACCTCACCCATGCTTCACAAAATAGACTCAAGGTGCGTAGCTTTTCGGATCTTTGGGTGATCATTTTCTGTAGGTCCTCTATAGTCCTTCTCTCTTCATTGTTGCCATACTTCACGCAAAAGCCGAAGTCAGCTGCACTTTCTTTCTTTCTTTCTTTCTGCTCGCGCCGCCAGTCTTGAAGACTTTTGGAGGAGTTATCAGAAATACTCTGATACTGTGTCAGTAATATACCAAAAGAAAGATAGTCCCCGTATGATATATCTATAAGTATGTTGATCATTGCTGCTATACAGAGTATATGTAGCCTCCTGGCCCGCCAAAAAACAAGTCCAGCAGCGCAAATCATTTCCTTCTTCACAGCAACCTGGTTACTGTAAATCCATATCCCAGGCTGCAAGCGAAATCATGTGATTGTCATTTCTGCTGCTTTGGAAAGCAAACGTTGAATGGTGACTGGTGCCCACTTTGGCCCTGGACAAAAGAACAAAATAAAGACACTCTGGCATTCTGCCTGAATGCAGGAGTGAGGGCATAATAAATGCTATCTGCATCTCTACTGCGTGAATTAAGGTGGGATTTGATTGGCCACATGCGTTCAAATTGCTCAGTCAAGCTGCAACAACGATGAGTCTCCACAACCTTGTGGCCCAGTTTGCCTAGGTTTCGTAGATCTGAGTTGACAACACCCCAAATAGCCTTCCAGCCCCCTTCAGCAAACAGTGCTAAGTGATGATGAAAATTATTAAGTCCCACATTCATCAGGTTTGATGGAGCTGCCTGCCAGGCCAACCGAAGCCAGCGAGGTCAAGGCTCATCTTCCCCAAGCTTTCGATGCTGCAGCAGCTCGTGCGTTGGCCTGGAGGAGAGTTCGATCCAGTGTTGCTTTCATGCCACCGCTTGCGAGAATGAGAAGCATTTTGTCTTTTTTTCGCTCTCTCTGTCTCTCTCTTTATTTGGGAGGGAGGCCTCATAAAATTCACAATTGGTTTTCAGAGCTCAAGTGCTAGGCTAGTCTACCTAGCTTGAGCCCCATAGTGACCTAATCTTCGTTGACGGGATTGAGAAGAACACGGACTATGGTTTGCCTAGACCTGTCTACGGTTCGTGGCGTAGGACCGACGGGTCTGCCTTGTATTTAGAGTTGTGGCACACAGTTGCAATTGGGGTGACTCAGTGGTTCAGCCTACAGAGCAAGCTGGTGGCAGTGGACTGCGGGGTTGGTTGCTGACTGCTTGTTGCAAAAAGGGATCAACATTTTAAAATACATTGTAGAAGTGCAAGTTCGCTGACCATCTAACCATACATTGCAAGGAGGGAACTGAGAGATTAAACGCGAGAAAGGTACTGAAAGTCTGAAAAAGGCCTATAGCGGCTGCTGTGAACATTGCGCGTGGCCAAACAAGGTCAACGACGAGGGTTGTTGCGAGCAGTTGGAATGACATGGCTTGATTACGACAGGACAGAAGGTGGCTTCAGGGAAATTAGGTGCCGCATGGAGCGCCATCAGATCGCCTCTCAGGTACCTAAAAAAATACCTTGGCGTTAGGTCTTCGATGTGTTGATGCGTGTTAGGGGTGACATTTTCGAGGACATGAATGAAAGCAACGTTCTGTCTGACTGAAATGTGAGTTGCTAGCCCTTGCAAAGTGATGGTATGTGGTATGCCACATGTAACAGGCAATGCTGATGGTACAGCGCAGAATCATTTGGAACCCCTAGCGCTCCTGCGTTGGACTGCCAGCAGAAGATGCACCAGGAGTGTGCCTCTTTTTTCTGTCCTTTTGGTGCCCCTCAGCTCTTCTTGCATCTTCTCTTTTTTTTTTCTTTTGCCGTTGGCTGTGAACCATTCAGTCATCCAAACTCTAAACTTGCTCGAAGTCCAAACCCCAATTCTTGTATATAATGATGCAACCTTGAGTGTGTCGCGTGTCTGGATTTTTTCCCGAAAGACTTGGTCGAAACGCCCTTCCTAAAGGCATTTGGTCTGTCTAGCTCAGGCTTTAGCACGTGTAAGAGTTTTTGCATTTGCAAAAGGCTTGACCAACTTCTTGCATGTGCAAATGACTTGACCAAGTTTTAGCGTTAGCAAGGGACTTGACCAAATTTTAGCATTTGCGAGAGACTTGAACAAGTTTTGTCTTGACATCTGTCTCCGTCTCTGTGTCTCTCTCTCTCTCTCCCTCTTTCTTTTCCATTATCTTTCACGCCGGGGCGGACCAAGCGAGAGGACGCGAGAAGCAACCCTTTCGCAGGATTCGGCCTGTCGAGTCCCCAAATGTATAGCGAAACGCGAATTCTCTTACGCGGCAGTGCGCCCCTCTCGCAGAATCCGGCCTGTCGAGCGCCCAAACGTGTAGCGAAATGCGAATTTGACGGGCGCTTGCAGGATCCGGTGTGTCGAGTGCCCAAATGCGAATTTGTCGGGTGCCGGATGAGCCCTCTCGCAGGATCCGGCCTGTCAAGTGCCCAAACATGTAGCGAAATGCGAATTTGACCGGTGCTCAGGCGACCCTCTCCTCTCGAGCCCCCAAACGTGAGGGAATTGCGAGCTTGACGGGTGCCGGATGAACCTCTCGCAGGATCCGGCCTGTCAAGTACCCCAACTCAGAACTGGCAAGCCTGTAGTACTCATGTAGTACGGGAAGCAGCTTCTGTGTGAGGTGGCCTCAGATGTTCCGGCGTGCTTGCGCGACCCTCTCGCAGGATCCGGCTCGTGGCCTCAGAGCTGGCAAGCTTATAGTACAAATGTAGTGCGGGAAGCAGCTTCTCGGTGGCCTCAGATGTGGTCTCTGCAGGATCCGGTGCGCTTGCAACCCTCTCGCAGGATCCGGCTCGTGGCCTCAGAGCTGGCAAGCTTTTGGTACAAATGTAGTACGGAAAGCAGCTTCTGTGTGAGGTGGCCTCAGATGTGGGACCCTCTCGCAGGCTCGGGCTCGTGGCCTCAGAGCTGGCAAGCATAGTACAAATGCAGTCGGGGAAGGGTCACTTTGAAGATTTTTGTAGTAGACCTGTAGAAGTAGACTTGATCAAGTTTTTGAGCGTTTGGTCTGTCTAGCTCAGGCTTTAGTACTCTGTGAGAGTCTAGTACTTGCAAGAGACTTGATCAAGTTTGAGCATTTACACAGATCTTTCCAAGGCTTTAGCACTTGTAATCCGCTCAGGCTTTAGCTTGACCAAGTTTTTGCTTTTGTGAGAAACTTTACCAAGCTTGAGCATTTGCGAGAGACTTGACCAAATTTTGTCTTGACATCTCGAATCTTTCTTATCTACTTGCAAGAGACTTGGCCAAGTTTTAGCATTTGCAAGAGACTGGACCAAGTTTTAGCATTTGCAAGAGACTTGACCAAGTTTTAATATTTGCCAGAGACTTGACTTGTGCGCGCTGTGCTTACAACTTGCGGGCCCGCGGGGAGTTTAGTTTGCAGTCAAAACAACCACCTCCCCATCACATACTCCTTCTGTGCACAACCTTCGGAGTTTAAAGGTGCGAGCGCAGGGGTCTCCTAAGAAAGTTCGTGTTTGACGGGGCTCAGTTACAGTTACTACCCATGTGACAATCTATAAAATAACGCAGGTGGCACAATAGCAAAGCATCCACCAAGCTCTGGCGATCTTTTATGTGTGCGTTTTTCGTTCCGTTGTTTCACATGATGAAAACAAGTGTTTGAAAACGCAAAAGTGCAATGCAGTCCAATAGTTTTGACAAACGCACACACTTAGTCACAGGGTTTGCAGTTAACCATAATCCACCGTGAAATGGATGAGGGAACGCAAAGCCGCAAAGTCGGCTCAACCGAAATGTTGAACAATGTTGACGCGTTAGCACTTTACGAAAAAATGGACGCAAACGGAAAGGCGGCTGGGTCGGTGGAAGTGAAGGTGTTTAACAAAAAGGTTTGCTCTAGTTACTGAATACGTAGCCGATTGAATAAGCATGATGGAAACCTGTTTTGGGATCTATCATGAGAGCAACCATGGCAACAAAAAAACAGCGGCGAAGAGTGGAGTGTTGTCAACTCGCAGGTACACAGTGGAGCGTCCACCACTGCATCAGCATGGACTGGCACCCTCTTCGTTGGACGGGCGGTGCCAGTGGTGTCCCGTAACTCTTAGAATCTCGGAAAAAGAGTGCGACGCACACACCCGGCCGCTTCGCGGCGCTCTCGCGCATAACCTGAATAGTCACCTACAAAGCCTTAGGAAAGAAAAAGAAGGACAGAAAGACCAAAACGAAAAGGGCAAGAAGGAAAGGTAGGAGTAGCGGAAAAAGTGACTACTTAGCCCTCGACTGAAAAAGAAAAAGAACCTGATTAGCGGAAAGGCAGACCTAGAAAGGGAAACGAACATGCAAGAGAGAAAGAACCAAACGAGACCCGACGGGCAGGGAGACGTGCCTCAAGAACCACCTAACAAGCCTGAAAGAAAACCTAGAAACCGAAGGAAGCGCAGGAGAGAAAGCGGGGGGCAGGGAGGGGTGTATGTCCATGTGTGTGGGTGTGTCTGAAAACTTAGCAGCTATTAATTACGCGCAACAGTTAGGGAGCGGGACTTTAGTCTGAAACCGCCCGGGTAGAGTAGACTAGAACAGGGACAACAGAAGGAAAGGCACCGACGCACAAGTGTGTCGAGTACCATTTACCCTAATTGGAGATACACGCTTGGTCGCAGGCTTTGCAGCGAACCATAATCCACAGTGACCTGGATGAGGGAACGGAAAGGCGCAAAGTCGGCTCAACTGAAATGTTGAACAATGTTGACGCGTTAGCACTTCACGAAAAAATGGACGCAAACGGAAAGGCGCCTGCGTCGGTGGAAGTGAAGGTGTTTAACAAAAAGGTTTGCTCTAGTTACTGAATACGTAGCCGATCGAATAAGCGTGATGGAAACCTGTTTTGGGATCTATCATGAGAACAACCATGGCAACAAAAAGCAGCGGCGAAGAGTGGAGCGTTGTCAACTCGCAGGTACACAGTGGAGCGTCCTCCACTGCATCAGCACCGACTGGCACCCTCTTCGTTGGACGAGCGGTGTCAGTGGTTTCCCGTCCCCCTGCGTCATCGGTGAGAAACTCTTAGAAATAGAGTGCGACACACACTCTGACATTGGTTTTCAGTTTGCCCAGTTCCCAGGTTAAAAGAAGGTGAGAGAACGGCAAGGTGGAGAGTCCGAAAAATTGTAGATCTTTGAACAAGTGGTTTATGCGCATCTGCAGAACTCACGACGGCAGCT